TTCACGATATGCAATGTTTTGAATGTTTGTAATTCATAGTTAACATCAATATTTGATATTATATTGGTGGTGTATATTCTTCTACTTATTACAGTGTATGTGTATAGGAATGTAAGGTTTTATATCTGTTTTAGTCTGTAAATTTATGTTTTGTCTTGTTCATGCACTACCAACTCTTAGGTAAATACTCATTAAGGTTTTGATGAGGTCAGTGTATGACCATTAATTAGGATAATTAATGTATGTTATTTAGAACGGGGACTGTACATACGCGGGGGGGTAGAAGCGTCAGCTGTGTCTGCACTGGCAATAATGATTATTGTAAAAGGAGGGTTTGTAGGTTATGTATATGGTTGTGGGTTATGTATATGGTTGTGGGTTATGTATATGGTTGTGGGTTATGTATATGGTTGTGGGTTATGTATATGGTTGTGGGTTATGTATATGGTTGTGGGTTATGTATATGGTTGTGGGTTATGTATATGGTTGTGGGTTATGTATATGGTTGTGGGTTATGTATATGGTTGTGGGTTATGTATATGGTTGTAATATGGCCATGATCTATGGTGTTCTTTAAATGTACCAGGATTGTGTACTAGAGGTTTTGTAATATCTAGTATGGTTTTTAATTTTATACTCTTATACATTATTGTATTTGTCCTATGTTTTAAATAAAAATATAAAAAAAACTTGTCTAACTGATAAATAATAATTATCAATGTTCATTTACTGTTATGTATATAATAATACATCCAAGTAAACGCAATTTTCCACACACGTGTTGGGGGTTGTACTGAGTCATATGAAGAGGAATTTTTCTAAAAGGCAATGTAACACCTGCAGTGTTTTGATTATGACGACATAATTGTTTTGTATGTGAAATATCTGACACTGTCTACTTATATTTGTTTATTGTAATGTGTGTTATAAATAAAATAATAAAAAAAAACTGGCCCTGTTGGGCAACGTGTATGACGCCATACCTGCTAAAGACCTGGGGAATGTCCACTTTATCTGCTTCAAAGGGCACATTGCGTATCCTCACCCAAGTGTCCTGGCGAGAAACATCCACCAACCGTACACTCAGGGGTGACGTCAACACTGACTTCTTGACAGCGGTCAACTAGACCCTCCTACACCCGCCCATGCAGCAATTTCATAATGATTCTGTAGGAGCCATTCATCGCCACACCATACAGATCCTTATCTTCTATCCCATAAGCCTCCCTGATGATCATGGGCAGCAAATCCTGGACAAACATAGGCGTGATTGCCAAACCCAGAAGTTCAATACCCACGGTATCCACACGACTTCACACGCTAAACACCAAGGCAACACTGGGTAGTTTACTTGGCTGTCAGCAGAGGGGTGCGAGGCGCATCCACTCTCTTTAGCAGAGAATGATCACTGAGAATTGTGTAGTGAAAGTGTGATAGTTTTAGCCCGAAATAAACCGGATTTTTGCGGCTTTTGGATTTACTAATATTTTATTACATGTCAAATACATTACGTATATTACAGAAACAAATGAAGCTGTTTGTTGCTTGTTAAGATTTCGTTCGGATTTTTAACCCCGGAGGGTTAGCCACCCAGGATAACCCAAGAAAGTCAGTGCGTCATCGAGGACTGTCTAACTTATTTCCATTGTGGTCCTTAATCTTGTCCCCCAGGATGCGACCCACACCAGTCGACTAACACCCAGGTACCTATTTGCTGCTAGGTGAACAGGACAACAGGTGTAAGGAAACGTGTCGAATGTTTTCACCCGCCGGGAATCGAACCCGGGCCCTCCGTGTGTGAAGCGGGAGCTTGAGCCACCAGGCCACCGGGCCACAAACACAGGAGCCACAGCCACCAACTGTCCAGTGAACTACACATATTTCCACACACTTCTATATCAACAAACAAGAGCAAATTTTTTTTTATTACTTCTCAGGTGTATTTGGTGCCCCGTGACCTGGTGGCAAAAGCTCTCGCTTCACACGGTGAGGGTCCGGGTTCGATTCCTGGCGAAAGGGGGGAAATATTGGGCGTGTTTCCTTACAACGGTTGTCTATGTTCACCCATCAGTAAAATGGGTACCTGGTTGTTAGTGGACTGGTGTGGGTCGCATCCTGGGACAAAACTGACCTAATATGAGGGAAATGGTCTCCATTAACAAGCGACTTTCTATGTAGTAATATGACATTGATGTCAGCTATGATCTGTATACCTTGTACATGTACTTGTAGTAAAAAAGATATTATTAATGAAAAGAGTGTACATTAAATTTATAATAGTCACCTACAGTGTGTTAACTGTCCACATTTTCTCTGGACATTGCGCTATGTCTATTTTCTTTGGCAATACTATAAGGGGAAACTATGTCAAACTACAACGTCGCACACGAGGATAACAGCTTCCCACGGCTTAAGATAAGATTTTTAACCATAGAGGGTTAGCAACTTAGGATAACCCAAGAAAGGCAGTGCGTCTTCGAGGACTGTCTTATTTCCCTTGTGGTCTTCGGTTTTGTTTCCCAGGATGCGACCCACACCAGTCGACTAACACCCAGGTACATACCTACTCGCTGAGTGAACAGAACAAAAGGTTTAAGTAAACGCGTCCAATTTTTCCACTCATGCTGGGAATCGAACCCCGGACACTCAGCGTATGAAGAAAGAGCTTTTCCAGCTAGGCCACGGGGTCTATGGCAAATTTATTTAGGTACAGCTAAACGTAGGTACATTTACACAAGTTTAGGTAACCAAAATTACCATACATAATAAAGTGTATTAGCTACCTAAGATAACCCCGTAGCTCGATCGTTAGAGCACTTAGCTCACACACTGAGGTCCGGAGTTCGATTATTATTATTATAATCAACGGGAAACGCTAAACCCGGAGGATTATACAGCGCCTGGGGGGGGGGATGTGGAAGGTATTCAGGCATAATTCGGGGAACTGGAGCACAGATCCAATTCCCTAAATCAAGAGCCCCTCACCAACATCAAGGAACCTTCCTTGAGGGGTCCGGAGTTCGAATCCCCGGTACGGCTGGAAAACATTAAGGCGCGTTTCCGTAAGACACCTGCTGTCCATGTTCACCCATCAGTATAAAATGGGTACCTGGGTGTTAGTGGACTGGTGTGGGTCGCATCCTGGGGCAAAAGTGACCCAATTTGCGGGAAATCCTCTATATAACAGGCGGCTTTCTATAAAGTAGTATGTCATTGATGTCAGCTATGTCTATATTAAATCTATAGGGATCATACACGCCTATGGAAATAGAAACAATCAGTTTAGATCCAGGAAGAGAGAGAGAGAGAACTGATCCATTTCAGTGAATCAAGAGCACTCACCAGCTTCAAGGTGACTCCCATGAGGAGACGATGTAACAAGGGGCAGTCAGCGAATCCGGACTGGAAGAGAAGGCATTCAAGTTTGATTAAAGGAAGAGGAGGATAAGTCCAGTTCCTTGAATCAAAAGCCCCCTCACTGAATTTTTTTTTATCAGAAATCATATTTGCCCCATTTTATTTTCTTCATCAATTTTTGTTAAGAAGACCAGAGCTGTCAGTCAAGCTCGCCAAAGCTGAGGCAATGTGATTCACTTTCGGTAAGCATTGGCAGACTTGCCTACCTGCTGGTTGAGCACAGTACTCTCTCTCTGGCTTCTGCTTTACCATCTGGCACGTCGTGTACACTTATTATTCCATCTGAACATTGTGTACATATTTGTATATAGTGGGTTAAGGCAAAATATACATTACAGTCTATCTACTGAGTTAGTTTTGCTCCAACCCCCATTACGACCAGGTCAGAGACCATTAATTACTAAAAGAGGATGTGATGCTGACTCTACGGCGACCACAGTGTTGTTGTTCAATGATTTAGGTCGAGCATGCTGGAAAATATACAAAAAGTTTTATTATTTTACTAGAGGTAAAACATAATAAGACAATAAAAACAATATATTTTTAACAATTTTCTGATGGTAATATACTATTACAATCCCTAGAGAAACAGGATATGATAAAAAGTTGTGGCTGTGGGAATGGCATATTGCTGGGCTCTCACTGACCAAGGTTCCTTCAACAGTGAAGGAATTACCCTTTAAAACAGTGCTAATTAGAACTGTTCTTTAAGCAGACGGATTACTTTCGTCTCTCTGTGAATATATGCAACACAGGGAAGTTGGTTAATAAGACAAGTGGACAACATCTGGGTATCTTTATTAGCGAAACACATCGCCTACGCAACAGGCATTTTCAATTAATACAGAGGTTACTTTTATATTGGAGACAGTGGAAGAAGTAGAAAGGTAATTTTAAGGTGGTCAGTCCCTTAGCCTTGATAGATGTTCTGTCCCTTAGCCTTGATAAATGTTCTGTCCCTTATCCTTGATAGATGTTCTGTCCCTTAGCCTTGATAAATGTTCTGTCCCTTATCCTTGATAGATGTTCTGTCCCTTAGCCTTGATAAATGTTCTGTCCCTTAGCCTTGATAAATGTTCTATCCCTTAGCCTTGATAGATATTCAGTCCCTTAGCCTTAATAGATGTTCAGTCCCTTAGACTTGATATATGTTCTGTTCCGTAGCCTTGATAGATGTTCAGTTCTTTATATTGATCAATCTAAGGCAGAGGCTTGACGAAGAACACTTAAATCGTGAAGCCAGAACAGCAGTGGTGGTACTGTCAGTATCACAAACATTTTAATACAATGATACCGGGATAAAAGGCTCGGTTTCGTGCCTTTGTTTCAGCAGTTGGGCATGAACCACTTCCAGTAGAATTAACTGTTCATAAATGCTCTCATTTGTTGCACCTTTTTTCTGGCTCCAGTATGTCTCCGTCCTCTTATATATATATATATATATAATATATATATATATATATATATATATATATATATATAATATATATATATAATATATATTATATATATATATATATATAATATATATATATATAATATATATATATATATATATTATATATAATATGTGTGGTGCCGAATAGGCAGAACTTGCGATCTTGGCTTAAATAGCAAAGCTCATCTTGCTATATAAGACAAGTGAAAATTTGTGTATGCAATAATTTCGCCAAAATCATTCTGAACCTAACGAAAAAAATATATATTTCACTGTGTTTGTTTAGTATTAAGTTATTGTAAACAAATCTAAAATATATTTAGTTGGGTTAGGCTAAAATAAATTGTTCTTGTTATAATAAGGTTAGGTAAGTTTTCTACGATTCTTTCGGTGCAAAATTGTAAATTTTTACATTAACATTAATGAAAAAAATATATCTTTAAACGTATAAGAGAAAATTTTAGAAAGGACTTAATTTTAAACGAGTTCTTGCTAATTGACCAGTTTTACCTATTCGGCACATTATATATATGCATATAACCTCTATGTGTATGAGTGTGTGTGTGTGTGTGTGTGTGTGTGTGTGTGTGTGTGTGTGTGTGTTCACCTAGTTGCATTTTGGGGGGTCGAGACTGATCTCCTTGTCCCTTTTCCTCAACTACTTTGATGGGTAATACTGATGTACTCTTGAAGCTGCGCACCGATCTTGCCTCCACCATTGTCTCTTTCCATTTTTACACCATTCTGAGAGTAAGGAAATACGTCCTTATGTCCCAGTGCCTCACAGGTGCTTTTAGCTGCTTGTTTACTTTTGATTCTGGTTCTCTAAATTCGATCCGTTCCTTTCCCTGTGTGTACTTAGTTGTGACTGCAGGGGTCGATTCACAGCTCCTGGCCCCGCCTCTTCACTGGCCGCTACTAGATCACTCTTGCCTTACTCTTCTGTCCCATCTCTGGGACATCCTGTCTCTGTCCACCTTGTCAGTTCCTCTGTATTTATATGTCGTTATCATATCCCCCCTCTCTCTCCTTCCCTCCAGTGTCGTCAGGTCAATTTCCCTTAACTTCTCTTCGTCGGACATGCCCCTCTGCTCCGGGACTAGTCTTGATGCAAACCTTTGCACTTTCTCTAATTTCCTTATGTGCTTGGCTAGGTGTCGGTTCCAAACTGGTGCTGCATACTCCAATATAGGTCAAATGTACACGGTGTACAGGGTCCTGAACGATTCCTTATTGAGATGTCGGAATGCTGTTCTTAGGTTTGCTAGGCGCCCGTATGCTGCAGCAGTTATTTGGTTGATGTGTGCCTCAGGAGATGTGCATGGTGTTATACTCACCCCAAGATCTTTTTTCTTTGAGTGAGGTTTGTAGTTTCAGGCCCCCTAGACTGTGTTCCGTCTGCAGTCTTTACCCCTCCCTAATTTTCATGAATTAGCACTTGGTGGGGTTGAACTCCAGGAGCCAGTTTCTGGACCAGGCCTGCAGCCTGTCCAGATCTCTTTGTAGATCTGCCTGGTTCTCGTCCGATTGAATTCTTCTCATCAACTTCACATCATCTGCAAACAAGGACACTTCTGAGTCTATTCCTTCCATCATGTCGTTCACATATACCAGAAACAGCACTGGTCCTAGGACCGACCCCTGTGGAACCCTGGTCTTCAAAGGCGCCCACTCTGACACCTCGTCACGTACCATGACTCGTTGTCTTTCTGACAGGTATTCTCTGATCAACTGCAGTGCCTTCCCTGTTATCCCTGCCTGAACTTCCACCTTTTACACTAATCTCTTGTTTGGAACTGTGTCAAACGCCTTCTTACAGTCCAAGAATACGAAATATACCCCCCCCCCTCTCTCTTGTATTACTGCTGTCACCTTATCATAGAACTCCAGTAGGTTTGTGACACAAGATTTCCCGTTCCTGAAACCGTGCTGGCTGCTATTGATAAGTTCATTCCTTTCCTGGTGACCCACGACTCTTCTGGTAATCTTCTCCATGACTTTGCATACTATACATGTAAGTGACACTGACCTGTGTGTGTGTGTGTGTGTGTGTGTGTATGTGTGTGCCCGTGCGCATGCGTGCTTATGACTACGTTTGTGTGTGCTTGTAATATATACACAAATAAAAACATGATTGTGATTCAATCTAAAATTACCCGTAAAGTGTAGATGAGATTAAGGAGGTTGGTGGGTGTCGTGTTGGTGGTGACAGGTGACAAATCTGGAGTCGACAATAAACGCGAGCAAACAAGCAAACAACTATGGGGATAACCAGTTGTTATCGGTGTAGAAAGAAGGCAAACAAGTAGACAAGCATGCCAGCTGTCACAGCAATCCGTCTGTTTACTGCAAACAGACAACTGATGCTGCATCCCACTGCAAACAAGATGATGTCACAATTAGTTCTATTGACCTTCCATTTGTCCCCCTGAAAGACATCAATATTTTGAAGCACGAATAAAGGGCTTCAAAATTTTGAAGTACTCTATTAGGGCTTCAAAATTTTGAAGCACTATTAGAGGATCGAAATTTTGAAGCACTATTAGAGCATCGAAATTTTGAAGCACTATTAGAGCATCGAAATTTTGAAGCACTATTAGAGCATCGAAATTTTGCAGCATTCTATTAGGGCTTCAAAATTTTGAAGCACTATTAGAGCATCAAAATTGAAAATATCCCCAAAACACTTTTTTTTTTAAAAATGTCATTAAATTTTGTTCCTTTACGAAAATAAATAAATATTATTGATGATATCGAATTTGACCTGAAAAATAAATTTTCTTGTGAGATAAACTGATATAATAATATATATATATATATATATATATATATATATATATATATATATATATATATATATATATATATATATATATAATAAGTTCCTTAATATAAAGGCGAAGGGGATAAAAGAGAGTGCAAAAATTACAAGAGAATAAGGATAGTGTCACTTTGTGACACTAGGTCACTTTGTGGTCCAATCTAATGTACCCTAACATACCCTGGTCTGCCCGGTGGGGCCCAGAGGATCCTAGGTCACTGAGTGATCTATTCAAACGTACACTAACTTATTCTGGCCTACCCTCGGGGGCCCAGGGGAACCTAGGTCACTTTGTGATCAAATCTAACCTACCCTGGCCTGTTATGAGGTGCCCAGGGGAACCGAGATCATATTGTGATCTAATCTAATGTACCCTAACATACCCTGGCCTACCGTGTGCGGCCCAGGGGAATCCAGGACACTTTGTGACCTAATCTAATCTACCATGAACTACCCTGGCGGCCTCAGGGAAATTAGGTCACTTTGTAATGTAATATAACCTACCCTAACCCACCCTGGCCTGCCCTGGGGTCCCAGGGAAACACTGAACACTTTGTGACCTAATCTAATCTTCAATAACCTTCCCTGGCCTGCCCTTGGGGGCCCAGAGGAACCTATGTCACTTTGTGATCTAATCACTCCTTCCCTAAACTACTCTGGCCTTAACTGAGAGGCCCATGGGAACCTAGATCAAATTGTTTTCTAATCTAACCTACCCTAACCCACCCTGGATTTCCATACCTACCCTGGCCTGCCTTGGATGGCCCAGGGAACATAGGTCAATTTCTGATTCAATCTAACCTACCATAACCTACCATGGCCTGTCCTGGGGGTTATGGTAGGTTAGATTCAATCTAGCCTACCATAACCTACCATGGCCTGCCCTGGTTAATCAGACCCTGATCCACTACCAGGCCTGGTCAGATGACCAAGGAAGACCCTGATCCACTACCAGGCTTGGTCAAATGACCAAGGGAGACCCTGATCCACTACCAGGCCTGGTCAAATGACCAAGGGAGACCCTGATCCACTACCAGGCCTGGTCAAATGACCAAGGGAGACCCTGATCCACTACCAGGCCTGGTCAAATGACCAAGGGAGACCCTGATCCACCACGAGGCCTCGTCAGATGAACAAAATCTCCAGTGGTGGATCATCACATAACTAAGAGCCGCGTCAGGAGACACTTGACCTGTTTCCTGACCAATTTAACCTAACCTAACCGATAATAAATCGTTCGTTAAACTCCACTTCCCTATTTAGGCTAGCGGCTGCCGGACTATTAGTTAAACTGCATAAATTAAGCAATATTTGTACTCAAACATTAGCGGGGAAAAGTATGGTTTTAAATCTAATTTTGTCATACCTAGACTTTTCTAAAGATATACCAAACTGCATTATCCGGGAGACTGACTCAGTTATATGACGATATGAAATACACCCAGATATATATATCTTGACGCATATACACTAAGAGATGTATATCTCTGAGTATATACATTTAGATGTTTGTTTCTGTGTGTAGATACATGTGATATAAGTTGTTTAGAAAATAAAGGGAAGAATGACACACTTGAATGAGAATCTTCATTGTGTTAACGTTTCGACAGCCAGTGGCTTCCTCAGTCAATAATGAGTAAAATGGTGCAAGATTAGGAGTTTGAAGTAATCAGTCCCTCATCTTGCACTGTTCTTCTCTGTATTGGACTGAAGAAAGACACTGGCTGGTGCAACGTTGCACATGCTACACAAGTATATATAAGCGTATAAACGTGCATTTCTAAACGTATATATCCCAAATGTATACGTCTCTAAATGTATCTTTCAGTGTAGACATAGACCTTAAAAGACCTTACAAAATCCCAATGACCTTAAACGACCAGACCTGGTGCGTTGGTGACCCTCGTCACCAGGTCGTTCCGATGGTCTCTGTTGAAGTCGTTCTCCAGCCTCTGGCGTTCACGATCCAAGGTTCTCCTTTTCTCCCCTCGTCTCCTATCCTCCTCCTCACGCTCCTTCTCCTGCCTCCTCTTCTCCTCTTCCTTCCTCCTCCTGGTGTCCTTCCTACCGTGGCGGTCTGGAGTCCAGCGTGTTGCCTCGTCATCTGTCCAATAGTAAATTATTATGACGATTATTATTATGAGGATTATTATTATTATAAGGATTATTATTATTAAGAGGATTATTATTATTAATATTATAAGGATTATTATTATTAAGGGGATTATTATTATTATAAGGATTATTATTATTAAGAGGATTATTATTATGAGGATTATTATTATTATTATAAGGATTATTATAATTAAGAGGATTATTATTAT